GGCCCCTCTTTGCCCACAGCCACGCCTTCCAGTTGTGGAGGGCCCTGGGGGCCGAGCACCCCGTGAGCCGCCTGGTGGTGGCCACGCTGCTGGCCTGGCTGCAGGAGCGGCCGCTGCCCCCCGGGGCCAGAGACGGAAGCCCCCCGCCCGAGGATAAGACCTACCTGCGCTCGTTCACCGTGAGTCTCTGCAGCCACTGCCTCGACGCGGCCCCCAGCTGCCACCGGGCCGACCAGCTTCCCGCGTGCAGAGGCCGGTGGCATCCAGGGCACCCGCTGTGCGCCAGGCTGGGGGAGGGGGAGCCCCGTCTCCGGGCCGGGGAAGGGGCACGGCCAAGGGCTGAGCACGTCCCGGCGCGGGGCTACGGAGCCCGCTTCTGCCCCGTGAAGTGGGACGGCGGTGGTCCTGCACGGCTGCTGAGGGCCCTGGGTCACACGGCGTGTCCCCAGGATGCCGGACGCGCTGTGTGGGTGGCCTCACAGCCCGGGGGCTCCAGGAGACAGGTTCCGGCGATGGAGAACCCCTCCGTCCGCACTTGGGCTCTGGGGCTGTAGATCTTGGAGGAACCTTTGAGGCCGCATCCTGCAGCCCCTGCCCTCCTGTAGGAAGCCCCCCAGCCCAGCTTTCCTCCTTACACAGCCGCAGGAGCGGGGAGCTCACTTCCTAGCACGGCCACACCTGTCCTCCGCGGCTGGACTCTGACGAGGCAGCCGCCGTGGCCGACCCTGTTGTCTCCCCGGCTGAGACACCCCCCCCACCCCCAAAGCCCCCTGAGCAGCAGCCCAGAGCCTGCAGGTGCCCCTCCCCATCCGGAGCCCCCAGGCCAGCGGCCGCCTGAACTCGATTCCGTCTGAACGTGGCCCCAGAGGGGGGGTCCACCCCGTGCCCGTGCGGCCCCCCGCCCTTCCCGTTAACGCCCTTCCCTCCCGAAACCACACAGCAGCACTGGGTCAGCAGGGGGGTCTTGTCTGTGTCCCTCCACACCCCGAGCCCCGGCCTCCCTCTGTCCTGACTGCTCAGTGCTGTCACCCCACCCTGAGGACCTTCCGGATCGAATGCTCCGGTGGGCACAGGAAGCCTCGGGCCGCCGTCCCCGGGCTCGGGAGCTACAGCGTGTCCCCTGCCCCCTGCCAGGCCATGAGATTGCTTCACGAGCTGCAGTTTGCCCGGGAGTTCGAGAAGGCGGTGCAGGAGGCCTACCCAGAGCTCCTCCTGGCCCTCCTCACCCAGACGCACTACATCTCGGAGCTGAACCTGCCCGAGGAGCCCCAGCCCGGCCAGGAGGCCCAGCCGCTGGCCACGCCCAGTCCGCAGAGGTAGGGGGGCGTTCAGGCTCCGCCTGCAGGGATGAGGCAAAGACACTGACTTCCCAGGGCTGAGGAAGCAGGGGCGTGCCCCACAGCACCAGGCACCTATTGTCCCAGTTCTGGAGGCCAGGGTCCGAGTTCAAGGTGTCGGCAGGGCCGTGCTGCCTCTGAAGCCTGCCGGGGAGGACGCTTTCTGCCTGTCCCTCTCCTGGCTCTGCAGGCAGTCTCCGTGTCCCTGGCCTGTGGACGCGTTGCTCCCGCCTCTGCTTCCCTTGTCACCTGGTGTCCTCGGCCATGTGTCTCTGGCTCAGTTTCCCTCTTCTTATAAGGACACCAGTCATGACAGATTAGGGCCACGCTAAGGGCCTCATCTTAACTCGATTGCATCTGCAAAGACCCTGTTTCCAAATAAGACCACACTCACAGGTATGGGGTTTAGGACTTGGACATAGTTTTGGGGTGAGCGGGGGGGGGAGTCAAGCCCCGAACACCGTCATGGCCAGCGCCGCAGTCACGCGGAGGGACTCAGGGCAGGCATGTGGCTGGTTTACTTGCTCCCCAAGGGTCGCTGGGCAGCAGACATCCTCGGTGACAGGACACAGCACCTAACATCTGCCCACACCAGGGCACCGGGTCTTTCCTGAATGTGGTCCTTGTGGGGGTTCAGCGAGATGTTTCTCGTCCTCCCCATTGTACAGATGAGGAAAGCGAGGCTCAGAGAGGGTCAGAGGCTTTCCCAGAGACACACAGAATGCCCTCGAGTTGCTGAGCTAGTGCCCGTGGGATGGCAGGGGTGTCCCCCTGGCCACCGCTGAGCCCGTGAGGGCAGACACCACTCCAGGTCGCCTTGAGCGTTGCTCTGAGCCCCGTACACTTTTGCACCGACGTGGGCGGGTGTGGCCCGAGCGGCGTGGACGGGACCTACGTCGGAGGGTCCACGCCCCCGTGGCGCTCGGCCACGGGTTGGGCCGGCTGCTGCCGCGCCCTCCATCCACGCCAGGTTGTGTCTTGAGAAACCCAACAAGCAAGTCTTTAAAAACCACGGGGACCGACTCTTTTCATTTGTTTGTATTATGATGTGTTTCACGTAATTTGTCAGTTTTAACAGCTCTCCCCAAGGCGCGTCACTGAGAAAAAAATGCCACTTCTTCTCATATTGCTTCTGAATTCGAATGTGCATAAAGTTCTTTTTTTATTCACATCAACCGTGCGAAATGCATGAATCTTCCCTAATAAGCTAATAAAACGTTCTCCTCCCAGAACGTATGTAGGAGGGCCAGGAGGGGGCTGCAGTGAACCA